GAAAATTAGAGTTTGTGGCAAAGACTCAATTCCTTTGTGAAGAACTTGACATGGCTTTGGGCAAGGAGATATTGAATAGAAGGAGGGGGCGATAGGGTTTCCGTACACTTTGCTGTGACGTTTTTGGACTGCTGAAGAACTAGTTTTTGCGTAACAACAATAATAAAGATTGTAAACAATAACACAAATGATAAACAGACATCTAGGGGGGGGGGGCAGGATAACCTTGAATATGATTGAAAATGTTGAACTACTCATCCATTATACAATCACGACTACACTAGTGAAGTAGTTAAACCATCTGTATCTGGTTTAGCTACATCTCACTTTACATTACTTGCCACAAAATGCATAAATAATAAATGGTAATACATATTTTACTAAAATTTCCATTTTTTCTTTTTCATTTTTTTACTTGTTTATTTATTATTTTAGTATACGACGTATGAATGAAACTTTGACATATAAAATAAAAAAGATGATTGAAATCTTACTTTTTTATTTTCAAAAAGTGTCAAATTGTATAGTTCACAGTATTTAAACATGAATCTTAATAATAAATTTTACTAAGAACATGTTTTGTATTTAGATGAACTAATTATTTGTGAGATATTCATTTAGTTTAGAAAACATTTAGAATAAATATTTTACTGCTAAAAAAAATAGGACAAAGGGGCGATAGAGTCGAAAACTGTAAAATGTTGAAGTTAAACATGATATGACTGTAACTTAAAACCTTACTTGAAAAAAAGACTTTACATATACTGCTTTTCTCACCCTCCNCACCACCAATAAATTCCTGTGTTGAGCTGCCAAAGGTTTTAAGAGTACCATTGAATTAATCTAGTTTTGTATTAAAGGTCATTTGAAATTAAGCATACATTCCCTTTACTAGCGTTTCTAAATTCAGTATTTTAAATGGATATTTTGATACACATCTAGATTTATTTTAATGAAATTGTTTTTTGGCTTACATCAGTGATTTGATTTACTCAAACAGGCAAAAATCTGAAATAGTTTAAAAGTATGAAAAAAAGAATTTCAAATCTTTCTTTGAAATGTATTAAAGAATACTTTTAATCTGGTGAAAGGGGCCTAAGTGTTTCACACTTAGTAATGATATAGCCTGATCCATAATTGAATTTGGCTTTGAACGCTACTTTTATTTTGCCGCTTAATTCCGTCAAAATGGTCAAAACATCATTATTTGAACTCAAACATTAACTTGGAGCCAGAAAACTCTATTTTAGACTTATTCATGAATAGACTGAAATAAATCTTAATTTAATGATTTTTGGTCTTCTTGTGGCCCCCTAACATACCAAAGCAGTTCAATAGCCATTGTTTGAAAACTAACAAAATTCATTTCAATATATATCAAAGATGGTCATTTTATTAGGCTGTTCCGTTAGTTCTGGAATAATCTAATACCCTTTCTTAATAATAGCACCTTTCTATTTATATATAATCTACACATAGAGTTGTTAATAGGTTTTAAAAACGATAGAAAAAATGTATTTTCTTTTTGAATTGTTGTTAACGGTCGCTAGCAAGAGTCGTCGTTAACGGTCGTTAATGAAGGGTCTTTCAAGGGTTTTGAAAACACATTCGTTTTTAAAAAAGGATTGTTTTTAAAATCGATCATTTTTGAAAACGACCGTTTTTAAAAACGAAAAACTATCGTTTTTAAAAAACGAAACTACTGTCTTTACAAAACGATGTTTAATATAAACTATCCTTTTTAAAAATGACCCTTTCTTTTTTCGTTTTTTCCATCGATCGTTTTTCAAAAAAGTGGAAACGATCCATTTCTATCTTCTTATATCATGTACCCACATACTAACATAATAAAAAACATGATGTTCTATGAAATAAGTATTTCCATACTTCAATAAAATGTTAATACATATAGGTTTGGGGACTCATAATTTCCTGCGCTTACACCTTACCAATTAACAAATTAATTATTTTTTAAATAACTCACTTATACTGTTTTATAGCTTTAGACATGCGTATTCTAAAATTATAAAGAAATTGTTTTTAACCAAATAATATAAGATACATCTATCTGTCTATTCATCTATCTACCTTTCTACCTTACTATCTATCTGTCTATCTACCTTTTATATGTATCTTTACTATCTACCTATCTATCTATCTCTATCTATCTGTCTATCTACCTTTTATATGTATCTTTACTATCTACCTATCTATCTATCTACCTATCTACCTATCTATCTATCTATCTGTCTATCTACCTTTTATATGTATCCTTACTATCTATCTATCTATCTATATCCCAGGGGAATGTAATTGATTAAAGTGGGTCTTATATCTTACACTTTATGTTTACAATCATCTATTATACTATTATAGATAAATTAGGCTTTTAGGGCGCTTTGGGCCCATCATCTATTTTAATTGTAAACTGCATGTAAATGTTCTCGTTGCGCCCATTGTAAAACAAAACAAATCATCCTTCGCGGATTTCATAAAAAAAACTTTGTGGAATTTCAAAATTTACAAAAATTTAGAAAAAAAATCTTTTGATTGAGGCAACTTTTTGAAAATTTAATCATCCATAAACCTTCCCTGGAATTAGATATTGGATACAAATATACAGACAGAAAAGCCAAATTTATATATAGATACAGAGCTACCCAAATAGGTTGTCAAGTACAATAGACGGCAACACAGAATGCGTACACTTTCAGTACAACTGTTTAAACGTCATAAGTGTCAACTCAAATTTTCTGTCTGACAAAACTATAAATAAAAGTGATATTTTTAGACTAAAGTGCTTATCTTTTAGTGAAATTAGTGCAATTTTATATATTCTTTATTTCTGTTTTTACACTTTTTCATTTAACGTTCTATAGACTAAATAACAGGGTTGAAACTGATATTGTACATAACCCTTTAACATTGTTATTCGAAAGTATAACGTTAAAACATATTTCAGAAATGTTTAGTGATATCTTTGGAGAAGTGCTCTGGAAAGGTCTAATCGTGGATAAACCCCCAGATCCAGGGGAAATACAGGCAACAAGAAACGGTAATTTTCTAATGAAATGTCGTCTTCTCAGGATATTCAATTTTTTTTCGCAAATGTCGTATTTTACTATTTTTGGGAACACGTACGAAATATATAAATAATTTCAAAATGCTTTTATTATGAAATTATTCATCTAAATGTTTTAGTAAACAAACAAGGTCATCACATGAAACGAAATTTAAAACAAAAAGGCCAATTTATGTTTTAATAAATAGTTTTAAAAAATTTTGTACTTTTATTATTGTTTTTTGTTGTTGTTGTGTATGATGATATAATGTGTATACTTCAGTCATTGTTTAACCCACCAAAACTTCGTCACTTTTAAAACAAGGTAATCCAAATGATTTTTTGTAAAATTCGTATAAATTATGAGTGTTTCAAAAAGTTAGAAGTCTAAATTTTTTAAGAAATTAGCTGGCTTTAGAGATTGAACAGTAAACCTTTAATAACCCTAGAAATGTTTACTTTAATGCTACTTAGAGGGCTGGGGCCTGGACGCCCCCCCCCCCTCCCTCAGACTATTTAGTTTACATAGATATACAGTGAGTGAAAAAAAAAATTAAGCCACCAAATGACAGTAAAAATACTCTATCTAATTTTGAGTTGTAAATATTTTTTACGTATTCCTACAAAGACGACATTTATTTTCACCGAATCTTGGAAATCATACTAACTAATTAGAGGACATGTCGTCTTTCTTTTTTCATTTGACACATATGACGTTGTGCGCAGTTGGTCGATTTTTCTGTTGCCATCTATTGTACTTGACAACCTATTTGGAGCTACCCACTAAGGATAAAGGGTTAATGGCCACATACAAATCCAAACATATCAAATTGGATTTCTCAGGTTTTACTTCAAGTTTTGCCTTCAAAATATATTGTTAATGGTTTATTAAATTGTTGGACAAAAAAATTAATAACTAATAGGAACTATAAATGTAAAAAAGAAAAAACTAAACAAATTCCGTACAGTCGTCTCATATAGACTCATCCTTTGTAGATAACCCTGTGTATATAATATAGATTTATATATATATTATAAAACTAGTGGTTATTACTTATTATAATTAGTGAGAACTGAAAATTAGTAGAATTAGTTATGCCCAAATAGATTCTAGTACAATAGATGGCAACGTAGAATTTGTACACTCTCAGTACAGCTGTATTCTGACGTCACAAGTGTCAACTGAGTTTGTGTGTCAGACAAAATTATTAATAATAATGATAATTTTAGAATTTTAGAAATGCTTATCTTAGACTAAAATAAGTGCAATTTTATGTGTTCTTTATTTTCTGTTTTTTACACTTTTTTATTTAATCTTGGAAATTATTTATTACAATTATTTATTGAGTTTTATAAAAAAAATTCTAAAAAGTTATTTTCAATAATTGTTTGCAATAATTTTTTCATGTCCCTTTTTTGATTTTGAGAATATTTGATAATGTATTTTAAGTGCAAACTAGCCAGGAGAAGAAGGTCAATTTCAATCGACAATTACTGTTAGAACTATTACGACTTTGTTGTGACCTAGTTTCTCCTCTAGTTCTGATTCGACGCACAAGTGTGAGAAATTAAAATCCATTTAGTTACATATTGTAAATTCAAAACGTTTTACATCTTCGCAACTGCTCTGTAATGAGAGGATTTTAATCTTACGTTCTTAGCAAAGAAGACTGTCAGTAGCTGTCAGTTAAATACAGAGCGTCCCATATCATATTAGATTATTTCCAATCTTTAACACCAAAATAAACCCTTAATACTCGAAAAACTTATCATTTTCCACAAGAAAATTCTTATATAATTCTAATGAAATTTTCTAATTAGTCCTGATTAGACCCGTTCTCAGTCTAATATGATGTGGGACACCCTGTAAGTGCAATTATGTTTAAACATGCAGTAATATCAGTTATTTAATAAAGGTTGACAAAAAAGATAGGAAAACCTGTAATAATTTTATGCTTCAAATCATCATCCACAATCAGTGACATCTTTCTAAGATTTTAGAGGTAAAAATTATTCTTTGAAATATAGTTTTTACGCATATAATACCTAAGTTTATCATTGTTGGAGGATAAAGCTTGAAAGACTTCATCACATGCAGAGATGAGAGAGTAGATGACTAAAAGAAACATTACAACACTGATAGTAAAAGATAAAAATAGGAAATATTGTCGAAGCTTCAGGTAATAAAATCCGCTGTAAGCACAGACTATCATGCAAGTGGTGTAGTTTGTCAGAATACAGAAATTAAGAGGACTAAACCCACTTTTTAGAATTCTTATCTTCTTCACTAGATGTATGGAACATAACACAGTCTCTGCTTCATCCTTTTTCTTGCTTAAATCAGTAGCCTCCATAATAAAGGAAGTGCAGACTAGATTAGTTGTAATGAAGTAGGCTACCAGAAGCATTGCAATCATTATCTGGCAGAACAGTGTTGCAGCAGTAAAGTAGATCATGTTTTCTTTCATATCCGAACGGAATATCCCCAAAACAGTTGAGGTCAGAAAGATTATAAAATACAAAGCAACCCATTTCTTGGAGTACTTGCTGACATCAAGATCAATTTCAGACTTTTCCACAAGATTTGCCAGTAATCCAGGAATGAACAATGTTAGTGCAACTATGTTCAGGATTACTGTGACTGTACTGGCCAAAATAACTGGATTGTACTCTATCACTTCATAACTGGAAACATATTGAAGATAAATGGAAATTGTGAACAGACCAATAGGAATACAAAACCAGATAATCAAGGAAATAAACATTTTACAGCTGAAAAATTCGTACTTTTTGTTTTGAAGAGGAATTAAGTCTGAAAAAAAATAAAAATTAGCATTTTTTCAATTTCACAAAAATTAAACTTACATAATTTGATGAAAAGTCTTAGAAGCTTCATGGTTGAATGTGGATTGAGACTAGAGTTAAAGCTTGTGTTGTTACCCATCAGCAAACATTTCTCTGTTTACTCAACTTCTATAATCTACATCTATCTTTATACTTTGATTGTCTGTCCGTCTCTTTGTTTATTTGTTTCTCTGTCCGTTTGTATCCAATAAACATCAAAACGGCTGAACTGATTGGGTCAAAATTTTGTGTGGGACCTCACATGACCCCAGGGATGGTTTATGTAACATTAATATTGGAGAACATTTTTTTTGCGGTCAGAGAATAAACAATAATTTATTGAGTTTTATAAAAAAAATTCTAAAAAAAGTTATTTTCAATAATTGTTTGCAATAATTTTTTTATGTCCCTTTTTTGATTTTGATAATATTTGATAATGTATTTTAAGTGCAAACTAGCCAGGAGAAGAAGGTCAATTTCAATCAACAATAATGTTAGAACTATTACGACTTTGTGACCTAGTATCTCCTCTAGTTCTGATTCGATGCAGTGTTAGAAATTAAAATCCATTTGGTTACATATTGTGAATTCAAAACGTTTAACATCTTCGCAATTGCTCTTTAAATGAGAAGATTTATGATAAAACATTTAAGATTTTAATCTTACGTGGATTTTACCTTAGTTTGACGTGGGGCGGCGGGGAGGGGGGAGGGGCGAGATTGGTGTTTACTGTTCCCTGTAGAAATACATTGTGGATATGCTAGCCCATGCTAGCCTAAACTATTGAAAATGTACCAACAAAATTAACTCTCATCACTTTTCTTACTGATTCCTTCCCCCATTTCCCTTTTATTATATCTTTATATACACCATTTCTCTTTATATCTTTGTATCCTTCCTTTCCCTTTATATCTTTGTATCCTTTCTTTCCCTTTATATCTTTGTATCCTTCCTTTCCCTTTATATCTTTATATCCTTCCTTTCCCTTTATATCTTTATATCCCCCCTTTCCCTTCATATCTTTATACCCTTCCTTTCCCTTTACATCTTTAAATCCTTCCTTTCCTTTTATATCTTTATATCTCCTATTCCCTTTTTATCTGTATATCCTTTCTTTCACTTTATATCTTTATATCCCCCAATTCCCTTTATATCTTTGTACCCTTCCTTTCCCTTTATATCTTTGTATCCTTCCTTTCCCTTTATATCTTTATATCCTTCCTTTCCCTTCATATTTTTATATCCTTCCTTTCCCTTTATATCTTTATATCCCCCCTTTCCCTTTATATCTTTATATCCCCCCTTTCCCTTTATATCTTTATATCTCCTATTCCCTTTATATCTTTATTTCCTTCCTTTCCCGTTATATCTTTATATCCCCCCTTTCCCTTCATATCTTTATATCTCCTATTCCCTTTATATCTGTATATCTTTTCTTTCACTTTATATCTTTATATCCCCCATTTCCCTTTATATCCCCCCTTTCCCTTTATATCTTTATACCCTTCCTTTCCCTTTATATCTTTATATCCCCCTTTCCCTTTATATATTTATCCATCCCCCCTTTTCCTTTATATCTTCATATCCTTCATTCTCTTAATATCTTTAATTATATCCCCCCTTTCCTTTCATATCTTTATATCCCCTTTCCCTTTATATCTGTATATCCCCAATTTACTCTTATTTCTTTTTGAAGAATTATAGCAGCACTCTCAGGGTCCTTTGGGAGACAGCCACCTATGCAGTCAGTTAATAATTCCTAACCTTTTAATTCCAAACCTTTAACAAACCTGCCATCTTAGAATACGATATTATTTAAGAAAAGTCTTGGAAATTTTGAGAAAACACTTTTTCTTCATGAACTAAAAAAAAGGATTTTAAGAAGGTTTGTGTTAAAAACGAAACTAGAATGGAATAATGGAAATAACAAGAAGATGACATCAGAAAGAAACAATAAATAATAAAAATAAAAATAAAAAAAGCCTCGAAGCAAAAGTAAAGAAGAGGGAGGAGAAAAGGAAGGATTTGTCTAATGTACACTGTTAATTGTCAAAAATACCCTCTACACTGTTATTTGTCAATAATCCCCTCAACACTGTTAATCGTTAAAAATCCCCTCTACACTGTTAATTGTTAAAAGTCTCCGCTAAACTGTTAATTGTTAAAAATTCCCACCACAATGCTTGTTAATTTACAAATTCCTACTGCACTGTTAATTAATGAAATTCCCTCTACACTGTTAATTTTGTAAATTCCCACCAGACAATTATTTGTAAAGAACTAACTCTATAATTTTAATTGTTAACCAATTAATATTAATTCATTAATTATCAAAGTACGTAGTAGTACCTACAGTGTACAATTCAACTAATTCTTATGTGCTCTTTTAAATAAGAATTTTAACCTTTTACTTCTGCAAACGTAATTTCTTTTTAATTTAACATATTAACAGTTAATGTCTTTATTATGATCTTAGTTGATTTTTAACAATGAACATTCTTAATACCATTTACACCATATTGTGTTTCGTTATCGTAACATATGATGAAAATGCCAAAAAGTAAAGTTCCAGAGAAATAATTATGATAAAACTATGTTACCATGTTTAGCAATAAAAAATGTAATGTAGTGCAAAATGTACAGTATACCACATATCCCAATTGTCACAAGAGGTTCCAAGGAACGGGGTAAACGCGCGAGAAGGAACAGGCATGCACGTTCTTAGCAAAGCATTCGGAAGGCTTAAACTCACTTTGCTCTGGGTGCAACCTTATACAAAAGTACAGGCTGTCCCACGAAACATGACCATAGCAAGACGACTTGAAAGTCGTTTTTGATATTTGAATTTATTCTATCTACTTTAACATGTATGATTCTTGAAACAATTATCACATAATTCTCATGGTTACTATAAGGCTAACAATGAGCAATTGCTTTTTATATCAAGTTAAGTAAACTGGATATTAATAAAGTCCAAACTAATGAATCAACATAGAACGGAAACCCTTCTGCTAGTAAAGACTTTTAGTGCACCAGCAAACTGCAGTTAAAAGGGGAATTTTTCAATATTGATAATTAAAGAAAAGAGCACCAAAAACTATTTATTACTTTACACTACACTTCACACTAAACACTCTACACTCTACACTTCACACTTAAAACTCAACACTTTACACTCAACACTTCACACTTAACACTCCACACTTCATAATTCACACTCCACACTCCAAACTCCACACTCCGCAATCTGCAATCTACACTTTACACTTTACACTCTACGCCCTACACTCTACACTCTACACTCTATACTCTACACTCTACACTCTACACTCTACACTCTACACTCTACACTCTACACTCTACACTCTACACTCTACACTCTACACTCTACACTTTACACTCCACACTCTACCCTCCACACACTATACTCTACACTCTACACTCTACCCTCCACACACTATACTCCACACTCTACACTCTACCCTCTACGCTCTACACTTTACACTCTACACTTTACACTCCACACTCTACATTCTACTCTACACTCTACACTCTACACTCTACACCACACTCTACACTCCACACTCCACACTCAACACTCTACATTCTACACACTCTACACTCCACATTCTACACTCTACACTCTACACTCTACACTCTTCACTTTGAACTCTATACCCTACACTCTAAATTCTACACTCAATCATGCACTCTATATATGTCACTTTTTTACCTCTTTTCAAACTGTGAAATAAATTATCTAATTAGGTAACCAACCAAATGATTCAAATTGATTACTGATTAAATACTAATTGATAAAGCTTGTACTATTTCTTGATAAAAGTCATTATATAGATAATATATTATACACAATGAAACCCTGAATAACGAATACATCGGAAGAATTTATCAAATGTCGTCTTGACAATTTTTTTAATGAATTGTATACTATATTACGTAAATTTCAGTATTTGCGAAAATAAATAAATAGCAATGAATATGAGAAAACAGTTTTAAAGAGTTCCATATAATCATTTAATTAAAAAACTAAATATCTGCATCATTCCATTGTCAGAAAGTGAAGAACACGACATTTGATGAATTCTTTCGATGTATTCTTTATTAAGGGTTCACTGTATGTAGATTTAAATCTAAATATAAAATTTATACTAAAATTCACAATCTTAACATCAAATATTTGTGTGTCATATGAACATAGCTAAGGTTTTAGAATTTCTTAAATTCCATTTTATGAATAAAATCATTAGATTTTGACTAACTTCAAAGGAGTATTTTGTGAAAAGTTTACGTGGGGTCAGGCTCAATTCAATATAAAGTTTTGAAATATTACAGTTAAACTCATTAATATGATATATCTGAACGATTTATATAATGTAAGCTGTAAGCTGTATTTTCCTAGAAGTTTTCTACCAGAAGCTTAACAGGGATATGGAATGTATAGTTTACTAAAATACTATACAAATTTCTGTTTTGAGAGCCAAAGTTTTTATGGGAAATAAAAGTTCTAAAGATAAATAAATAGCCCTGAAATGCACGACACATATGTTATACAAAATAAAAGATAATTAGGCGCTACACATCACATAACTCTCAGTACTCTCAGCGGCATAATCAAGTGAAAATTAATAAAGACGACATTTTAAAAATCTTCCGATGTATTCATATTAATGAGTTAAACTGTATAATATATGAATTTTGGTAATTTGTTGGGTAATAGTAATGTAGTTTACATATAGTATTCTTTTTTTCAAAACGATGTTCTTTGACCACAAACTGTGTCTCTAGCTTTCTAAATTTAATTGATGTTACTTTTTTTATTCAGCCTGACCTCCTTTTATGTTTTGCTATCACTCCCTTTAAGAAATATTGAGAGGATAGATTTTGCAATAGATTAGAACTGAAAAGGAAGAATTTCTTTCAGGGGTAATTGTTAAATCAACAATACTAAGCAGATTGAGTATGTGTTTAAGTGCACCTTTTTATTTGAGCAGATGCAGCATTTTGTCAGCTATTAAATGTTATTCTGAATCTCTTGATGGCCTGTTAAAGGTTAAAATATATTCTGAATCTCTTGATGGC